TTATTTTATTTATTTTATTTATTTTATTTATTTTATTTATTTTATTTTTTTTACAGTCATAACTGCATACAAATTAATCTAGTCCTTGCTAACTATTTGGCCAGTTCCTGCAAAAAATACACTGACAAATTCATGGTAGGACATTTTGTTCAGATAAAACAACATTAAAAATAGCACACATACATAAATATATGGTTTGGTTCATAAACGATCCCACTTGGTTACTTGAGGGTTTAATAAGTCTTACTGTTGCTGCATGACCTCTCCTCTGCAAGTGCAATAGTTCTATGAGCAGTGAAGGTATTTTGGCCTCAGCACTTATTGTTTCTCTTCATGGTTTAAAACTCAAATAATAGACAGACACAACCCACTGATGACAACAGAGTGCAGCGCAGAGGAGCCGTAATAACCATTCGATACCCAGAACACAAAGTTCTGCCAAAACTAACTCAAGGTCAGAGACGCATTTGAACTGAAGACAAACCACAAACTCTGAGCTGTTTGCTTTATCAATTTCTCTTCTACACCAGCCTGACAATTAGTTTCACAGGCTATGAAACTGTTTTTTTTTTTTTGTTTTTTTCAATTGGTGAGTAAAATTGTGAAAACCTTGGTCTGCTAAGAACACACACAAAAATAAAACAGCAACAATAAGAAGATAAGACAGACATAAGAAAAAGCAGGTGTTCAAGCAGTAAAATGAGGAGACGTACTCATTCCTTCATCAAATATGACAGACTGAACATGCAACGGCCTTATAAAAGTCACATCTGGTTCCTGCTCCTCCTTCATCCACGCTGCATGCTTCTCAGTCTGCCTCATCTTCTAAATGTGTGGCACTTAATGTACAAAGCCACACAAGGAAGCACACACACTGAAAACACAATTAGAATGTCACCGATATGACCTTGAGGGGAAGTAAGTAATATCAGTTTCCAAGGCAACAATGATTCAAGTTTTAACAGGCCATATTTCACAGTCTGTCCTAATGAATATACAGCATGTGTAATTTTGATTGAGCGCCAGCCTGCCTCGGGGATAATGACTTTGACGGTTCTTAGCAGATTTGATGACTTGATGACAATGGATTTGCTTATTTATGCGGAAATTTGCTCTAGTTCCTTCATAATAAACATAATTAGCTTCATGACACGTCATAAAGCCACAGTAATAGTTCCATCTTGTTCAAGGTTTGCTCCCATGCAGCTGCATCTGTTTGCTATAAAACAGTCAAACGATCACATTTTTACTGAGGTGTAAGTAAAAGTTGACTTGGGGAAGAAAAGCTGCCTCCCAGTGCCAATGCCATCAAGAGTGTTAAAAAGGGCTGTTAAAAATGAAAACAGTATTGAGGCAAGGATGCGGGAGGAGACAATGTCCTGGAGATACAACCCTCTAGGAGAGTCATCATGGTTTATAGTTGTCTATAAACATTTCCAGGAAAATGGGATTGAGTATTGACTTGAGTAAAAGTGCGTTAAATCCTTCACACAGATTATGGTGGGGGAAGGTCAACGACACCGTCATGAATCACAATTTATCCCACTGTCATACTTACTAAGTTTGGTTGCCACTATGGAAATATTGTGTTGGGCGACGCTCTCTCTGTCAAGCAGCTCATTTGTGGAAATCGTCCCTTCCACTGGATCGATGTCAAAGTAGCTGTCCAAGTCACTCTTCCAGTCAATGGAATATCTAAAAGAAAATGTTTATTTAACTGCGTTATTTCCAACATAAAGCAAAGAATTAAAGCACAATGATTCTCCCTCAGGGCTCATATTTGAGTTAGGTGTAATGTGATGTTGGAGTAGTCTTCATTACTCATTCTGAATGGTCATTTCTAGAAAATGTGCTGAGGATTGCACATACATTCCAATCTAGTAATGGAGCAGACATTTGGCCATGCTGAGCTAATGGTTTTCTAGGGAACATAAATGAATTTTATACACTGTTGAAAACGTATCAATCTCTCACGGCCAATGAACAACAAAGACATAAAATCTTGGTTTGGTGTCTGATAGCAGCAAGTCTAGTCTTCTCTTGGAAAAGCAACTGTGGTCTCACCAAGCTGCTCTGAATGCAAATACAGAAATTTAAAAAAAAAAGGGGTAAGATCAGAAACTAAACCACAGACCGGTGACAGCACCATTCATCACCCCATGCTGTTTGATTCTAAAACGGCCATTTTTCATTAATAATTTTACAATCGTTGATGGAATTCCATCAGGAGAAAGTAATATTTTATTACCCTTCACAAGGAGGTCACAGGTTGTGAATCTGATGCCGTGCCCATGGGTACATTCTCAGAGCATATCCATAATTTCTCATGGAGTTGAGCTTGAACTTTTCTATACAGAGTAGCCTCACTGCACACACATTCTGGAAGGTTTTTTATTTTATTTTATCTTACCCCCCTTTCTTTTTTGTGGCAAGCCATTTGAACTTGAAAGACAATCACACATGAATATTTATCATGCTTGTTTGCTGTACTTCAGAACCTGATACTGGACTTGACTCAGACATGTACAGAAACGGCCCTGGAGCTTGTTCAGCCCCTTCAGTCTTTAATGAGAATAATAGCCAAACTACTTCAGTAAACAGAAACAAAGAGAAACAAAAGAACAAGCTTGAGTGTTTGATTTCAGATTTGATTTGTCCTCTCACTAATATAGCCTTGAAGTGAACATGAATTGGCTGAACAAGTTTAGGGCGAGTCTCTTTGATAAATTTTGCAGCCAAACTTGCATCAAAAGTTCAAAAGATCAATGGATTGTAACGTTTCCTTGAGGCAAAGCACTTTTTCTTTTCTCTTTAGGAGGGACCTCTGTGGGACTCCGTGTGCTCCCGACACGTGTTTTTGCTTTTTGTTTATCTCAGTAAAAAAAAAAAAAAAACAACACATTGTTCTAATGAGAGCATTGCAGATTAAAGTGTAATGTCTCAGCAAAACATTAAACCTCCATCAGCTCTTTCAGATTATTTAACCAAAAAACAAAAGATGGGAAATAAAAAGGCCTAAACACATTTAACAAGATGGAAAACAGTCAGAAAATTGCTTTTAATTGTAACTGGTCCAGTTAATTAAATGCTAATGAAAAGCTGTGAAAGAATTCATAGATCTAAGAGTCTACATAGTATAACTCTACACCACTTACAGCTGCAGATATGAAAATTAATTACACTTATCTCCTGCTTTGAAGAGATGTGATGATAATTGCCTCAATCTCAACAAGAGGTGATTTCACAAAGAAAGACCCGTGTCTTTTTATTATCTACACGCACTGATCTTTTTTTTTTTTATCTATCCACCTTATTCCTGGGGGCTCTACTGATCGTGAGTACAACTTCCTGTCAGACACAGGAAGTAGCAGTAAGCATCGGTTAAGCATTGTAGCGGAGCACGAACCACAGTTTATTTGAAAGTAATTTGCATTCAGTATAGAGGATACGACACGGTTTTTGTTTTGTTTGCATTTATTTAACAACCGTAAAGTTTAATAAAATATCCTCGTGGAGTTCAGGTACCTGTTGTTCTGTTAGCGGCTGCACGAACAACCAGACCGAACTAAATCGGTGGCGACAACAACAGCGTTTTGAACATGGACCAAAAACAACAACAACAAAAAAAGTGTTCCTGTGAAAAGTGCTATAGTTTCCATCACCTACCTACAGATGAGGAATTACAAAGAATGTTGCTGAGAAATCTGAATTTGAAGAGACCACCAAAACGTTGTCTGTGAGCTCATTTCACTTGTTGACAAACGGCCGGCGGAGGAAAACCTGCATCCTGCTTCATGGCTGGACTACAGTAAACCACCGGAGAACAGACGCTGGATCCTCAGGATCGAAAACAGTGACAAGAACATCAGGTATGATTTCAAGAGTATGGAGGGCACAGCGTTATAGCATTGGTTAGTTTTTAGTATTACGGTTTTCTCTGTAATTAACCCAAGCTCGGTGATATAGGACGTGAAGGCTTTGGCTGGCTCTGTGTCTGCCTTAAAGTAAATGAGACTGTGTCCCACCTCTTTTAACAAAACTCGACCGACCTACTGTTTAGCTACTGATACACCTCAGAGCTTTTCATGTTGTTCATCACTTCACCATCGGAAGCAACCGAGTGAATGAAGTAGCTAAATATGCTAGTAGCTGTAATCTGCAGCCATTTCTACAGGTTGTCCTCCCATCCCTCGAATGCTTTAGACAGCAGTATGATGATGTTGTCCTGTTTGAGCTCTGACAGGTGGTGTTCACACGTTTAAATTAAATCCACAATGCTTGGAGAAACGACATTAGCTCGTGCTGTTCAAACAAACAAATGCTGGTTTCATGCAAGGCAGCATGCGGGCTAGGAATTAGGTGGATACTTGTCCAGGAGTACTGTTGGTCATGGCTCTCCAGTTAGTATTTTGTTAGCTGTGGTATTAACATTTAGTCAACGATGAAGCCAAACTTTCAACCTTTAAACTCATCCAAACTTTGGGAAGCTCTTTAGAATATGTCACCAATGCAGTATTCATGAAGCCTCTCTCTTCCTCCAGCTGGAGATAACATAAAGGCATAGCACTAAATAGCTGAATCAATTGAGTTTAAAGTCTAAAAGCTTTATTCCCTATGCATGACGGGTCATCTGGTCTATTGTGTTGAAGGAAAGAATGCAAGGCTGCTCTAAAGATGTACAAAATAACAATGTCATCTGTGGAACTGATGAATATTTAAAATGCTTGAGACAAAGTGGAAATCCGCAGAGCAGAGGGCACTAGCTTTATTGAACAAATCTCTTGCTTCTGCAAGTCTTTTGTTTTCTTGGAAATTAAATATTCATAATAAAACATCTGCTGGCCATGCAACAGGTTTTTCCCTTTTTTGCCACTTTCAGATAACACTAGTGACTCATCTTGGAGAGAAAAACAAAGGTTTTTGAAACAATCTGTCACTAAAAGTGTCTTGCAGATATTAAAATATATTTTTAAAGTGGCGTACATTTTTTAAAAGTGCATTTTCTTTTGTGATAGCAAAGGTCGGGGTATTTTTATCTACAAATATCCAAAATAAAAAAAAATAAAAAAAATTAAAAGGTTGGATGTTACATATTTTAATGGGTCTTAAAAAGTCAAAAGAGAAAAGACTTGAAAAGCTCAGAGTATAATGCTTTATCTACTCAAATATTATTCAGGCATGAGTAAAACTCTTTGGCCAAAATGTATTAAACTTACCAAACTTATTTTGTTTGTTACCTGGACAGTGACTGCTGGACATGAGCACCAGTGACCCCCATGACCCGAAAAGGAAGACGCTGGTCAAGATAATGGATGGATGGAACCTGTGTTTAACCAGGCAAATCCCACTGAGATCAGAGATCTTTTTTGCAAGTGAGGCCTGGGACTGAACGCAACCTTACATGTTTTTAGACTATGGGAGGAAACCGGAGTACCCGGAGAAAACCCATGGAAACACGAGGAGAACATGTGAGCTCCACACACAGTTCAAACCTAGGATTGTGGACATTCTTGCTTTGAGGCAACCATGCAAACCACCAATCCATCGTGCTTCCCACAATACAGTACAACCATGGTGCTCAAGCAAGTTAACAATAAAAAATAATAAAATAAAAGTTGTCCAGAACTCCGTCAATTTCCTTATTTTTGCAAAACAGGGCAAGGATATAGAGATTAATCTCAATGGATTATACTATAATTTAAAATGTATGCCAATAATTGGAGAAACAAAATATAGATGTATTATACTTTGTACACAGCACAATATGTTTTAAGTGTTTATTTCCATTAGTGGCTATTAAGAAGAAATATTAGTGGAGCAGTCATCCTAATCACTAACCACACAAAGTTAACGTTTATAACCTATTATACTATTATAACATTTGTTTACCTTTACAGCAACATTGTTTGTGTGTGAAAATACAAAACATAAACAGGATGTATGAATAATTTACTAAAATATTTCAGTGGTACACCTATTGTCCATCGCTGAGACTTAAATGGTGAATGTTAGTAGTTTAATAGATAAGTGTTTTTTTTGTTTTTTTTTTCTGAAATTGAATTCAACAGGGAATGTAAATAAATTTAATGTTTTTGGTGCAACATATTCAATGGGTATAAGTTACACTTTGAATAAAACAAATATACATTTTTTTTATTTTTTATTATTACCATTGCTTGTCCAAGGTGGACATATGTACATGTATAGTGACAGTTATCTTTGATTTTGAGTGGCAATCCATCCAGCCATCACTGGCCTATATCCAGCCATCAGTGTGTGTGAGGGGGGACACCCTGGTCTCCAGTCCATCCCAGGGCCACATAGAGACAAACGAGACAAACAACCCTTCACTCTCTCACTCACACCTAAGGACGATTTGGAGTTACCACTCAGCCTAACATATATGTTTTTGGTCTGTGGGGGCAATCTAATTTTGATAATGACTTTTCTTACACCTAGATGCAGAAACATACCAAAATGAACATTGGTACGTCACTTTTTTTTAAGTTATCAAGCTTACAAGATGAACCAGATACAGCTGGAGGGTATTTCCAGGACCCCTCTCTGCTCTGTAATGAGGACCAATTAACTTTTCAATGGTGTTAATGAAAAGTACATGTACAGAGATGTGACAAGACGGGGAAGTCTGAGATTGTCATCATTGTATGTTTCCATACAATGGCGAAATTAGTTCTCTGCATTTAACCCATCGCACCTGGGATACACCCAGGTGAAGCAGTGGGCAGCTATATACTGTAAGTGCCCAGGGTGCAATTAGGGATTAGGTGTCTTGCTCAGATATTCCATGACATGTGGGAATGGCTGGGGGTTGAACCTGGGACTTTCTGGTCCCAAATCACCTGCCCTAGCTCTTCCCAATCTCAGCCCTTTGTAATATAATTGTAAGACAATTCCATTTGAAGAATGCATCTCATCTAACAGTTCTATAACAATATATGACAACCCTCAGACAGAGGCTGGCCCACCCTAAAGACAGAACACCCACACAAAAACAGAGTGGTGTAGTGTATGCGGTCCAGTGCATCGAGGACTGTCCAGACCTCTACATTGGAGAAACTAAACAGCCTCTTCACAGACGCATGGCTCAACACAGGAGAGCCACCTCCTCTGGACAAGATTCAGCTGTTCACCTCCGCCTCACAGATAAGGGACACTCTTTTGAGGACCAAAATGTGCACATTTTGGACCAAGAACACAGATGGTTTGAGAGGGGGGTGAAGGAAGCAATTTATGTAAAAAGAGAAAAGCCGTCTCTTAACAGAGGAGGAGGCCTCAGATTTCCACTTTCAAAAACATATAATGTAACTTTAAGACTGATTCCCAGCCGGTTTTCACACCTGATGGGAACAGAGGGGCCTCATCTGTGAATTAGAGGAACAAAGACCTTAAGAAACCACTACTGTTAAGGTGTTTAGGTGTGATTTTCCAATCTACATATGTGTGTGTGTCTTATCTCACTCAGCCTTATAACCTGAACCCCTCACTTCACTGCTGTTTGAATTGAGAAAGCTCCTCGGATGAGGAGCGAAACGTCTTCTGTTACAAATAAAGTCCAGTTGTTTTTCTATTGAACACTTTTTGAATTCATCATGTCCTGGATGACTGAGAATCTTCACCAGCAAATATATGGCAACCACATAAAGAGATGATCAAACATGGCAATACACTCACTAATTTACCTAAACATGTTTAAGCATTTCTAATGAGACCTCTAATAATGTTAGAATATTCTCTCCGTGTTTTGCTGTGTCACCAACAATTGCTGACCTGCCAAAAGATGATGCTAGCAGGATTTTACATGACATAGTCAGCTGTTTTTCATAGATTGATTAGTCTTCAATATGATGACTAAACCTGACACAACTCTCATTATGAGTGCCTTGATGACTCTGATGAAAAAAGACTGCAGTCATTGATAAATGTATTAGAGGGCTTACACCTTCAATCACTGGCTGCACTCACACACTATACCTCTATTTAGGTGTTTTACTGTCAAATTAGTAATACATTTGTTCCTCTAGTGAATATTTTAAAATAAATATTGCAATGTAGGCAGACAACTCACAATATACATTTCTGAAGCTTATTCATGAAATAATATGAAATATTTTGCATCAATTTATAAGAATAGTAATACATTATTGGTAGGTTCATATTGCAAAAAAAAAAAAAAATCTACATTGACCATCTTGGTACAAGACAATACTTTGCTTGTGATCCTATTCTTACACATAACACCCAGAGGTAATCCAAATCCAAATTTAACATTTGAGCATCCACAAGATAATCTGCAACATGCCTAGTCTGTAGCCTGACAAGTAAAGCTTCTAAAGCCAAAAAAATAATCACAGGATACAGAACCTGTGTCCATGTTTGAGGATGCCTAACACAATGCCAGTGACTGACTTATTGGTATGGAATTCCAGTAAACACAGACTTTGCATGATATAAAGACAATAAGTTATTTCATTACTATTGAGTGAGACTTATGCAATGCATTTAAAGAGAATGTAACTATCCCACATTTTTTAGACCAATGCTATGTTATAATGCACATTATTGTATTTATAATGTATGTAAATATACAGTATATTATATGGGAAAAAAGAACAAACAAAAACAATATCTTCGCATTAGGATTGTTTTTAAAAATTAATTGAAATCTGTACTGAGACAAAAACCAACAACCAAAAAAAAAGCCATTTATAATATTCAAAAAGAATAATAAAAAATAAAAAAGTTCTCCCATTTCCACATTTCAATGCTATTTCCATAACATTCTTATCTCTTTTCAAGTCCTGCAGACACCCAGCCTTGAGAATGCAGTGGTTTATGCTGTGGGCAAACTTTTAAGAGATTTCTATATTTAAATGTGAATAAGATATTAAAGAAAATTATTAAAGGGATACACTGTGTACTTTGGAAGAAAAAAAAAGTATTCAACTTTTACCTGACTGGGCTGCTGCTAGCATCTAAATCCTGTGCCGTTACCGCGCCAATGATGGTGCCTGCAGGTGTGTCTTCGTACACATCCATCACATAGGAGGGCTTATTGAACACCGGGGGCTCATCCACATCTAAAACGTTAATCTTCACTGTTGCCGTGTCTTTGAAGGCCCCAAAGCTCTGGAAGCGTGGATCCAAATGAGCATTTGCAGCTTCTACCTTGAAGGTGTATGCCTTCTTGGTTTCATAGTCCAGGGGCTACGAAAAAGAAAGAAAGCCAAAAAAAGAAAAATCGTTAAAAAATGTTAATTTCAGACCTAATGTTCAAATCATGTGGAGTATGCAAGCACTTCTCTAATTTCCACTTTGTGTCGTGATTGTTCCGTAAAATAGAAACGGCTTGTTTCCCAAGTCAAAGCTATATCATTATCACCTGATATATCATTATCACCTGATATATCATTATCACCTGCTGGGAAGGCACAATGAAGATATTGATTATGCACATGTCTCTCTATGTGTTTGTTTGTCGTGGTTGCAAAAAAAAAATAATAATCTCATGGACCAATAAATGTGTTTCAACAAAACTTAGAAATTAATTACTTCATGCATTTCAACAACTAGTTAACTTTTGGAATTAACCTAATTCAAGATAACTGATACAAACTAACCGCAGGAAAAACTAAACTTGTCATAACTCGACAGTGTTGTCAACGCTGGGTTAAAACATGGTGCAGTAGTAGCTGAGAGTAACTTACAACAATTGCTCATAGCACCATCATTTGGGTGAAAACTTTGCTTAAAATGTTAGCATTTAATGGCATTTAGCATTTAGCATTCAACTCTTTCGTTTTTGGTGTATCTCAAATTACCGGTCAGATTTTAATTAAACTCTTAGAAAAAACAGAACTCACACAAAACTGGATGCAAAGCCTCAATGATTGAAACAATTCAGGTTGGCAACTTCTACTCCACAGTAACAGTTGCTATTTATAGTGGTAGCAGCTGAGGGTCATTGACAACACACACGGTGTGTAACATATTCACTTAAATGTTAGCATTGCCTTTGAGAGAAAAGTCTGTATTTTATGTTTACACAATTGTTCATATTCTAAGAATGTCTTGTAAAATAATAGTTGAATGTGCAGCTACAACTGAGTCAACTCAAGTGAAATAATCTGCATCAGCTATGAAAATAGTTATAACTGGGTCAAATTTACAAATAGATTAAAAAAAAAACCCTGAGAGATATGCATCTCTTCGAGGAATTATCATATTTTTATTATTTTAAGCCTTGATAGCAGTTGGTTCTCATAATTTATTTTGTAGTGTGGTACTTTCAAGCATGAGTTACTGCTATCAGTTGTCAGCATCAGCCTGTGCATAGCCAAACAGCTTGTTTGAATGCTGAATAGCAAAAGAATGATAATAAAAAAATAAAGAATCCATCCTCTCTTAGAGTTAAACTGAGGTTTCTTGGTTAAGCAGTACTTCACCTTTCATGTAAGAGTTTTCCAAATAACAAGTGTTCATACTGTATGTTGCTACTCTGAGCTTCTGACATATCAGCTCAGGGTCAATTAGTGAAAAGGGAAAGAACCAGCCTCGTCAACGTGTCTGCTGCTGAGGTGTACACAGCTGACAGCAACTACACCCGTGTTCATGCTTCTGCCCGTCTCCTGCCCCGTCATGTGTGACCAGGCAAACTTGGCGAGCCTGCAGCCAGTCACGCTCTGCTGGCCTGGAGTCACACGAGAGGCATTCCTTTCAGTGTATCTCAAATTGACTAACATGTAACCACTATGGCAGCAATGCTATCTCCCTGCCCCAGGACTAGGATTTATGGCATGTTCTTTCAGAAGACAGAGATAGAAAACAGCTGGTAATAGTGTTGCAAAATGTAGGCATGGGAAGAGGCAGCGACTCATAAAGGAGGCACAGTAAGGGGCTGCCTCATTTATTTATTATGTTTTTTTAATGTGGATAAAAAATGACCAATTATCTGTTCAAATTCAAACACGGATGGATTAGCAATATAATCAGAGTCCAATCACTGGAAATGAACAAAGACACAAAGTTGTGATTTCAGAGTGGAAAGCAGATGCTTCCCAGGTCCTCTCTCTCCTCCGTCACCATGGATTCACAGTCTCGCATCCACAGCAGGTGTTTGTAAAAAATATATAAAAAAATAAATAAAGAGGGCCACGTAAAGGTAAGCCAATCTGAAAGCAATCACTGACCATCAGCTGTGGTGATTGGTTTGATTGCGCAGCAGATGCAGCTGGCAGGACATGGTTATAAGATACTTTAACAGGAAATACACTCTGTCCCTTTCAATATCTCTCAAGAAGTGACATCACTTACAGCAGACAAACCACCAGCATTGTGTAGACACTGGACTTAATGTGGGGGTTATTGAAATGTTGATTGAAACAATCAAGTTGGACCGAAAGTAGCTTATAAGGCTGGTTAGAAGTTATTATTCAAGTTTACCAATCTTCCTGCTCGTTCATTTAATTTCCTGGCAATCAGCATAAAAAAAAAAAGAACTCGGCATATTCAAAAAGTGAGTCAGACTGCAACAGAGGCATCAATGCGCAATCAAACACTTCTCATTACGTGAAGTTTATTCAGAACCAGCTTGATGGAAGAAGAGAACATAAATTCCAAACGACCGTTAGAACGCCTATGATTGTGCACCCAGCTTCATTTATCACGCTGTATGTTATACATAGATCATGA